CAGAGGCTAGGTTGCTGTAGCCTTATCAGTCCCTGGCTGAGGGCGGTGGGGCGTGAGTTAATGTTGTTTACTGGACCAACTGCTGGTGGTGAGACAAGCTTTCGCACTAACACAGAGCGTTTCTTCATCTGTCTCTCTCAGCAGCAGCAGTTGGTCCAATAAGCGATATTACCTTACCTACCTTATTAAACTTTTGCCAGTTTCAAATGGTGCTAGGGAGGCGAAAGACAGCACAATCCTTTTCAGTGGATGATTTTTCACATAAGTCGGGTCTTAGGGGCACTTCACAGTTTTATGTACGTTTCGAGTGATTGTTTGCTGCCTTCCCTCCATCCCTCCCATCTTAGAAGAAAATAACATTTACTGCATGACTATAAACCTAGCCCTGAGGTGCTGTCCCCGCCTCCCCAATCAGCTGCTGCTCACTTACAGACGTCTCTTTGGCCATATTTTATTACTAATTGTGCACCCGGCCGAGAGGGTGAAACTGGGTGAGTGAGGGAAGTGCAGGAGGGAGAAAGAAGGGATGGGCATGGGGCTGTCTGGGTATGAGGGAAAAGAGAGGGAGGGAACTAGGGTTGAGAAGGCCAGGGCTTTGAAGCAGCATAGGGTGAGGGTAGGAGTATAGGTTCTTGTTCCACTGGACAGTGTAGCCACTTCCCCTTCACTCACACTCTAACCTAGCCCATTAAATGTGGCTTGTCTGACACCCTCTGCAAAGTGAAACTCCTAGCAGATCAGTGTACAAGGCTAAGGGTGAAGACCATACTAGGACAGCATGCAGTATGGCCCTTTCATGTCCCGGGTCATTTACTGAATGTGATGTTTTAAATCAATGTGAGCTGCCACTGCAGGGCTTTACCCAGCTCCACAACCAGTCTGGCCCGTGGAAGAATAAGTACCTGCAGGCCTGGCTGATGCAATAGTTACCTCCATCTGAAATACTGTTAACAGTAAAAAGGAAGAAACTGGGTTAAAATAATGCAAATTTGAAACTTGAAATTATTTTTGACACACACTAAGAGCCTGGAGAGTACAGCACACTGAATAAGAAAGACATTAGGGAGCGTTAGCACACCATTGCAGAAGTAGAGACGCGCGGGAGGCAACAGAAAATGTGACAGATGTAGCAATGAGGAAACACCTGTTGGAAACTAAAGAAAAAGATTAAACAAGTCTGCTGAAGTGCAACTTTTATGGTAAATATTGGGAAAAAGCAACAGGTTTTTATGAGTTGACTTGAAGGCCTTGTCTATACTAAACAGTTTGTTCAACGAAAGTCAGCTTACAAAACTGGACCCTGCAATGTTCCTCCCACCAATTTAACTCTCTCGCTCTGCGGACATAATAAAACCACCTCAACGAGCCACATAGAGCTTTTTGCAACAAAGTTAGAGCGATGCAGTGTCAGTGTAGACGCTGCGCTTGCTTATGTCACCCTAAGTGGCCTTTAGGTGTCCCATAATGCCGACCATGACTACTCTGGCTAGCAGTTTCAACTCTGCTACCTTACAGCTAGGAACACAGGCATGAGCTCCTCCCCCTTTAAAGCACTGAGAAATTTTGAAATTCCACTTCGTGTTTGCTCAGCATGGAGAGTTCACAGCAGCGCTGAAGACGTGCACTTTTACAAGGAGTCGCACGCCATCCTCGGTGGCGACCTCACCTCCACCGCCAAGAGTCCCGTGGATACTTCGGGAGGACTGGAGGCAGTAGCCAGTAGAGTCAATCCCGAGGATGAGGTGGTGGATAAGGAGATCGAGTTGGAGGGGGAAGAGGTGGGACAGGCAACAGGGTCATTCAGTGGCATGGTGAACCAGGACTTCTTTTTAACTCCCGAGGGGTCTAGCCAGTCCCAGTACTCCAGCTTTGGTGCCCCTGAAGGAGGAGAGGGGAGCTCCAGTAAGTACTTATTTTGCTTTGATACTAGTACACAGTAACATAGGTGTCCTTTATTTTGTTACATGGGGCACATGGGAGAAGGGACAGAAATAAACACTAGGTACTGTTTGCATCTGCTTCTCATTGCTGTGTAGCTACCTGGTGGGGGCCTTGCGGAAAAGTTGGTTAATGCACACCAGGAATGTCCCAGGAATTATCTCGAGAGAGCTCTAGGAAATGTCCCTGCAGTTCCTCTGCTGAGGTACCTTAGGAGAGCTGCTTTGTTTCTTCCCGTGTTGCAGGAAACTTTGCCACACCAGTCAGCAATTACTCTGCAGGAACCAAAGCAGCACACAGGCAAGCAGCACACAGAGCCAATCAGAACCCACACGTATGTGGGAGATGGACCCTTGCATCCTGTTACCCTCATTAGTGTGATAACAGCTTTCCCCACCTGTGGAAAATGGTGCCAGTATTCAGAATAATGTCCCTAGGCACTTGTAGTGATCCCATTCTGAAACCACCCAGACCTTTTGTCCCATCTTGCACCTTCCTCCGGGCCACACTAACCATGGTTAGTGCTCTGGCCGTGCTATGTGCTTGCCAAGGAAAGGGAGGTGTATGTAACTTGTATGATTAAAGACTGAGTGCACTCACTGTACTGACACTGTGTATGGTTTCTTTTGCTTCTGCAGATGAGGACCAGCTCCTGCACACCAGCGGAGCGCCTCTGCCAGATAAGGAAGTGAACGAGGAGTAAGGAGGACGTGTTTCAAGAAGTGCTGCAATCGTCTGATCATGCAGACATTAAACACAGAGTGTGGAGAGAGAAATTAAACACTCAGAAAGGCCAGTCAGGAAAGGAGACGGGCAGAAGCAAATGATAAAGCTTATGGAGGACCAAATAGAGATGCTCAGGTCCCGGATTGTGCTGCAGTTGGAACAGCAGGTTGTTTATAACACTCATCACAAGATGGGAGAGTGGTGCAGGATCCATGCTTTCAGGCAGAGATGGCGGGTACATAGTTTACAGAGGCAGTTGAAAAATGCCACGAAATATAGTCAGAAGCTCATGGAATGATGAGACAGAGAAAACTGCATCATGGGGCGGTGAGCCCACCCCCCACTGTACTGCGATCCATTCCCAGAACTCCTAGCAGCAGAAAGTGGGGATTTGCACAGTAGGATAGCTACCCATGGTGCACTGCTCTCTATCAGTGCTAGAGCACCAACTGTGGACATGCTCCACTGACCCAAGGAGTGTTGTGTGAATATGCGCAAGCAATGTAATTACAGTGGTTTATAATCAAGGATGTAACTTTAGTTGACTTAACTCTGTAGTGTAGACATGGCTTAAGATTTTCGCAATGTATGGTATACCTCTAACAGCCCAGCTGTAAATACTAGTCTGCTAGTCAATACACAAACTGCATTTAAAACTGGTGATTGACCTGAGGCTTATGTTTCTCTAAAGAACTAAACTGATGCTATGTTTTAAAATGCCCTTTTGTCAGCCCAGCTCTTAAGGAACAAATATCAGTAGAGAGTGATAGCTGATCAGCAGCACAGCTAGTTAGCATTACAGCAATTTTTATGTAGGGAAATAGGCACCAATGGCCCTAGCATTAACACAAGCCATCAGGTTCATTCAAATTACACTCATTAATTTATTTTCGAAGCCCTCTGTACAGATCATAGTTAAAAGAACATGAATCAATTTCCATATTCCTTAGTGAAATGGGATGGAAGTCTGGAACCATGGGCTGAGACCAGGCAAGAAGCTTGCAGTGAAACAGGCAGAGTATGTGATCAAAATTCCATTTTATGTCCAAGACCCCATGTCAGAGCAGAGCACTTCGCTCACACTCCAGGCCTCCCCATCTCAATCCCCACTTCTTCTTCCACCTTCCCATACAGTCACTCACCATCTTCCCTGCTGATTTCCCCCAGGAAACCTGGGGCCCATAATCAGGGAGGGCACCCAATGCCTCTACACAGAGGCAACAGTGGTTGGCAGGGCTTTCCTAGCATGGCCATATTGGTCCTCCAAAGCCATGATCAGCAGCACTATGAAAACCCTTAATGTTCAGATAACTAAGTGCAGACACACTGCTGCCTGGTGTTTCAAGGCAGGAGACAGACACTGGGCTCCTTGCACCTCAGGCCTCCCTCTCTGACCACCAGCTTCCAGAGTAGGCAGCCCTGTGGGGGGCTAGCTGGGTTCTAGGAGGTTTGGTAGGCATGTTGTGGGGACTGAGTGAAGGTGAACAAGGGGCCTGTGAAAGGGGAACTGCAGTTGAGCTGATAGCCTAGGATGAAGGTGGGAAAAGCAGTTCCTCTGGGCTAAGGCATCTGTACTTGATGTCTCCATCATGGAGGAAGGGGAATCTTGGTGGGGAGCCCTTAGTATGCCAATGCCTTGGTGCAGAGACCCTGCTCACCCCTGTGCTGCTGTATGGTAACCAAAGCTGAAGCAGCTCTCTGTGGAACCAAGGCCCCGAACCCCAGGTTCCCCAACACATAAACCTGTTCCTCCTCCGTCCCTCTGCACATCCCTCACTAAATCTCTCTCACCCCTCAAAGCCCCAACTTGTCTGCCCTCCCACATTTCTCTCAGAGCCCACATCTCACAGCTCTCCTTGGCTCTCCACGGTCTCTGAAGGAACTAGTGAGTCAGGAAGGTAGGAGGCATTGGGAAAGAGAAGTAGCTGATGTAACTGGACAGGTTTGTTGGTTCACAGTGTAGCCCAATTAGATAAATCACAAATTAGGGAAATAACTGAGTAAGAGAGAAGTTTGGAGTTTCTGATTATATAGCAGAAAATGAGAGGGGGGAAAAAGTAAAATTTGAGAAGGTACCTTTCTCAGCTGTTTCCTCTGCAACAATTAGGAAATACAAAGAAAATTCAGTTGTTCACAGTAGTTAGTCTAAAATTTGGAGACTAAACTCAATTAAACTGGAAAGTAGAGGGAATTTCACAATCTTCACTATGGAATCGCTACCAACTCCCCTGTAAGACAGGACTATACACTTGCATGTACTTCAGAAGCACAGCTATTCACTCAATTAAAAGTTCTGCTCTGAATTAAAACACCTCAATAATTGTATACAAAGACAATCCATTTAAAAAAATATTTTAATAAGCTTTTCCAGAATTGCAGACAGGGAATGGGGAAAGGACAAGGGAATTACTAACAGTGCAAAATTACTATGCGTGAAAAAAATGTATAAAAACTAATTTGTAAATTTGTAATGTTTTTTTCAAAATATCGCTTTAAATCCTTTATAAAGCCCAACAAAGGTTTGTTCTGTTGAACTGCAATGTTTGATTCAGACTGCACTCAAAGCACTTCATGAACGAGGACACCTGATCCAGCCGGATACATCGTGACAGTGCTTGAAAAATATACTAAGTGTTACACATAAGCTGCTGTCTTTTCAATGCAGTTTGGAAGCTGGTTCAAATATTCCTTGGTTCCAAACTGTGCTGAATATTTCTGAAATGAATCAAAGTTACTATATTACTAGAATTTTAAATAGTACTAGTAGTGCAATGATTTATCAAATTATAGTGGCTGCATTTTGAAGAACATGAACCAAATATTGTATAAAACACAATGCAAATTATAATTAAATACTTCTTTAAGAATAGCTGAGCATTACATATTCTATGATTATGGAATGTCAGATCTCTTTAGGCATACCATAAAAAGATTAAAAACAAATCAACATTTCTGAAAATGTACACAGTGCCATATTTTACACACAAGCCTGAGACAATTTACTTATAAACTCTCCTATAAAATGTTTTTGCAAGTATTTCCACTTGCAAACAAAAATGCATACAAATAATAAATTGAAAATAGGATTCTGATTAAAGATGTAAAGATTTTTAGAAGCACTGTACTACCTCCATTCTGAAACTTTCTAAATACCATCTTTGATATAAGACTTGATACTTTGGATTTCTGTTCAATCAAAATTTAAAATTGACAATGACCTCCTCCTAAAACAATCACGCCACAAGATTAATGCAGGCCATACATTAAACACTCTCTTGATTATGTCTCTCTGTATAAACTGCTATCTAGTTTTAGTTAGATTAATGTCAATGCCCCAATGTCTGCTGAACTCGTTAAACAGATCTCCTAAAACATCTGAGAAAAATGGGCTAATTTCACACCCAGCCTAACTAATTACGTCAATGGAGTTACACCAGGTCTGAATTTGGCTCAGCGTATCTAACTCTGCCTCATGATCATTTGTGAAAAACAAAAACTGGTGGGAAGGGGGGAAAAAAAGTTGTGTTTTTGTAAGTCAATGTGATAATCAAATTAGTTTGAAACCACGTAACCATAATTTTCAAAGTAAAGCCCTGAAGACGTATATAAACTTTTGAAGACCAGCAGAAATAACCAAGTTAAAAAAAAAAAAAAGCTAACAGTATATTTGTAAAACCACAGAAGTAGAAGACAACAGTTTATAAATTAGACAACCAGGGCAATGTTTCCTCTGGGTTTCTTTACACTATTTTGTGTAGCTGTGGCTAAAAAGCACTGGTACTGTAAACTTTACACTTCACAGACATAACCTCCCACCTCAACAAAATTTCAAACATTTATTGGGAAAGCTAGAAAGAAGAGATTTAGCATCCCCCTCCCTTGATAAGGGTTTTTCTTTCTAGCACCATCTCTTAAAATAGATACCAACACTTACAATCGCCTCTTACATGTATATATGTTTACATACATGCTGTGCCAACTATGTACATAGATTCTGCTTCTGCACCTGCTGAAGTAGTCAATAATATGAATCCCAACAGTTCACAGAGATGCAAGATCAGGCCCACAGTAACCAGCTGTGCATTAAATTCCTAACTTATGCAACCAGAATCACTTGACCCATTTCCTACCCCTTCTGTGGTCACTGAAATGCACAAGATTATTAAAAATCATCAACGAATAATCTAATACCTGAAGTTGGCTAACAAAGTTTAAACATATTTAAGGATTTGGCTGAAATTAAGCTTTGTCTTACCTCAAAAATAAAATTTGAAAATGTATAATAAAAGCAAGAAAGTTTGTGCAATAAAAGCATCATGCTTAACTCCAAAATTCTCAAAAATCACTATTTGTCCTTAGACAGAAATTTGAGAAGTCAGATTCTCATAATTATGTGACTGCTTTAACCATCCTAATTTTAATGGTTTACAGTTTTCTGAGAAGAAAACACGACTTGGTAATAACTACATAAACACTTAAAAATTGTTTTTAGTTAGTTTTTTTTTTTTAAGAAACAGACTTTAGTAAAATAAAATGAAGCTGACAGACTCAGATTATCTATTTTCTCATAAAAGTTTACCAATTGTACAAGTTAAGAAAATTATACAAGCTTTTGTTTTAAGAAAGGACAGCTCAATCAAGACATAAGTACTGTAAAAATCTTTCAAAGGCTACAAAGAAATCTGGAAAAATACAGAACGTATTTCTTTAGCCCAGATAAGAATATGGAAGACATCATTGATGTCAACAATTTTACATATACAAACCTGACTTGGTTTATTTTTTTAAAAACTTCTATATATAAAAATAATCGTGCTCATAACTTTCAGGATTCATAGGAGTTCCTTAATTCTATACCATTTCTCTTCATCTAGATTGAAAATTTACACCTGCTTCTCCATTGTGTCTTGGAATTCTAAAATTTCACATTAACTACTTGTGACAATTTAAATTTGAATCAGCTCTCCTCTTTAAAAATATAATTTGTACAGTAGAACTATATCTACAAATAATTTGAAGAATGTGTATAATAGAAATTTCCTTAATAAATTAAGCAGGAAATGTGTTTACCATATAAACAAGTTTATGGATTCATTTCTCAAACACCTTAAAATACCTAAATGTTGCCAGAACAGTAATAGCCCGTAGTTCTGTGCAACAAAATATTCCAGTTCTGCATTTCAGGTCTGAAAAAACAGCAGAACTTCAGAGCCAACTAAAAGGTGTAAGAAAAATCTCAGATTGCTTCAAGGAGTTTGATTTTGTAAGGTAACCCATCAACCCTGAAAATTTTAGGCACCCCAGAATTTACTCCAAGGAATAAAATCAGTTCCCATATTCAATCATCCAAAGTCTCTAGTTCTTCAAACTTCCCATGTGATATTGCTTCTTGAAAATACTCTGAGGAACCTGGACTTTCTTTTCCATTGCTGTTGATTCTTCTCCTCTTTGCAGGTCTTTCATTTTTTTCTTCAAAATCATTTTCATTTCTTGCAGCTGAATGAGCAAGTTTAGGGTCAATGGAAAGGTTTTCAGTTTCATATCCATTTGTGTCCAGATCTGTGTGAGGTGTTTTCTTACCACCTGTAGGTCCATTCACATGCAATCCTTCAATTTTTACTTCATCTTTACTGGATATCTCACCTGGCCCATTAGTGGATACACCTGCATTACAGAAGAAATATGAACTAGACATTTAAGCAATTTCTATCAATACAATAGACCCTTAGGTCCATAAAACCAAAAAGCCAATCTTTGATACAAGTATCTTCATCATGTGACATCTCAAATTTATTGCCATTCCAATAGATCCATCCCTGAAGCTCTGGTAAACTGTAGCTCATATACAGACACAACAACATCCTACAGAATACAGCAGGTACCACAGTTTTGCCGGATAATCAAACTACAGCTTTTACAGTCAATCTAGTTAGGATACATATGTCTAAGGTACCACAGATTTCTCAATCCTATTATAAGAGTCATGCCTATATCAACCTGAGAAGCGTTATTGAACAGTTTTCCTCCAGGCTGCAGCACTCATTCTAAAGTGAAGAGAAACGTCTTAATCAAAAACCCAAATTGTTACTTGATCTAAATAGTATAAGATGAAAGCAACAAAAGGAAACTGATCCACCACAAAGATAGTGTCAAGTTTCTGTGTCTAAGCTACAGTGACTGACAGTTGAGAGAAAAAAAAAATACTCCTAACCCTGCCTGGAGGTTTGATAGACTTTCAGGTCCATCTCACGTGCAATAAAGGAGCTGTTTCTTTTCCACAATCCTACTGTAATTTTCCTCTCTACACCTTAACATTACTTAGCAAGAGATGATTGATAGCTTGTGTTCTTTAACTTTCAAAGTTGCTTAATGCATTCTTTAAGGTATTAGATCATTTTAATCAAGGAGTATCAATGACAAATATTTAAAATATTCTAATTAAAATGTTCTTCTATGCTGAAGACTCCAAAGAGAAACTGCAGAATTGGAATTAATTTGCAAACTGGACACCATCAAATTAGACTTGAATAAAGACTGGGAGTGGATGGGTCATTACACAAAGTAAAAACTATTTCCCCATGCTATTTTTCCCCCCCTAATGTTACTCTCACCTTCTTGTCAACTGTTGGAAATGGGCAATCCTGATTATCACTACAAAAGTTTTTTTCCCTTTTGCTGATAATAGCCCACCTTAATTGATTACTCTCGTATAGTTGGCATGGCAACACCCATTTTTTCGTGTGTGTGTATATATATATATATTTTTTTCCTACTGTATTTTCCCCTCATGCATCAGATGAAGTGGGTTTTAGCCCACGAAAGCTTATGCTCAAATAAATTTGTTAGTCTCTAAGGTGCCACAAGTACTCCTGGTTCCTTCTACCTCGAACGCGTCACCTGAAGCAAGCGCTGGAAAAGCATTAACATGTCTCATACTTTCATACAATTTTAAAGTCAATGGAACTATTCAGTTAAGCACCTGCACAGATGCAGGTAGGACTGAATATGAAAAGGCTAAAACACTTAAGAGGAAGAAAGTTAAACTTGCCAAACATTTTGTATTGAAATTTATGTGCAAGTATGGTCTTTTAGTTTTGTAACTTACCACGGATACCTTGGCCAGAACCCCTTGGAAATAAGATATTTCAAGGGTTCTCTCTATGCTCCTTAAAAAAAATTCTTTACACAACTTTTCAGCCTATTTCCAAGATTGCTATGATGTGGCAACTTCTTTTATAAGTGAGCAAGATGGGGGTGAAAAAACATCAGTGTTTACTTACCATTTTGATTACTGTTGCTAGTTGTGCTGTCCTCCCTCTCAGACTGGCTGGTGCTGCTGTTAGAGGTTGTAGGGGGAGGGGACGGAGCTCGACTGGAAGCAGCACTTTCACTTTCATCTAAAAGACGGTCCATATAATCCCTAAAAATGAACACTACAGTCAGCACTGGCTTGGCTTTTTAGAAGTTTGGGATGTGTGTGTGTATAATATATTGTGTGTACGCACTTCTTTTTTATAACTGCTTCAAGTATTTAGATGGTACCTTATACAGTCAGTTAATGTTATAATCTCCTTATACTAATTTTGATCCTCCTGTTATTTGTCCATGGGAAATAAGGGGCCATGTATAACCTTGGCTTGAAGGTTGTGTATACAGGGAGTCCCCGAAATGAGGGATAGCTCAGTGGTTTGAGCATTGGCCTGCTAAACCCAGGGTTGTGAGTTTAATCCTTGAGGGGGCCACTTAAGGATCTGGGGCAAAATCAGTACTTGGTCCTGCTAGTGAAGGCAGGGGGCTGGACTCAATGACCTTTCAAGGTCCCTTCCAGTTCTAGGAGATAGGTATATCTCCATATATTACCAAAGAATATGATGGGAGGCTGGCATATACTGAGGAATACAAGGAGCTCTTGCGCTCAACATACAGAAGCAACAAAAAGTGTGACTATCTAGTCAAATACTGAAAATAGTTACCTGCAAACATTTAAATGTAAACAGACAGGCTTTGCCTGTGTGCGCATACTATTATTTGTTCTCTGAATATTCAAGAGAAAAGTTTATTAGTATGAATGTTTGCCAAAACAACAAATTTGAAGTAACTACTACAGAATACTTGCAGAAAGCCAAATCAAAATTTGTGATTGTGATGTGTTTGCATAAAACATCCACCAATGAATGTAGCTGTAGAAATTGTGATCTGTTCAGACAATGCACAACCAGAAAACAGGCTAAATTAAATTAATTGTTTAGTGTAAATGGTTAGCCTTAATACTAACAGGTGTTCTATTTTAGCAATTACACTAAATGGAACTGATTGCATCTCTTCTCCTTTGGCCACAGTCCTGCTGGAAACCGAAATTATGGTAATCAAGTTCTTACTGCATTCATTACTCCATTTTAGAAGAGAGCAATATTAAGGAAAGACTATAAATCTGACATGTATGTAAGAAAAGATAGCACCGCTTACGTTACACCAGGATGGAGATTGTACTTCTTTTTCCCAAATCGGGTCTGCTGTGCAAAGAAGTCATACCGCTCTGATTTTTTCCACATGTAATAAAATGCTACACACTCGCCAACTGATCTTGTTCGTACCTGTGAAAAAGGTGCCACGCAAAACATTGAAAATCCAAATGTATTTTTTGCTAGAGATCATGAGATACATTATACTTTGAGATTCTGCATCCCCAGAGCAGAGACTCAAAGCATACTATGAATTATTCCCTTAAGATTTTTCAGCTTTATATGATGAGTAACAGGGTGACAGGATAGAAGTATATAAAGTAATAAATGGTATAGAGAAAGTAGATGGAGAACATTTGTTCTCCTTGTCTCCGAACAAGAACAAGGAGATGTTCGATGAAATTCACACAATGTATAATTAAAAACCATGTAACTTACTGACATAAGAATTTGCTGCGGCCAAGAAATTAACATGATTCACAATGGAATTGGACATTGATATGGATCTCAAAAATACCCAGATTGTTGTAATTCATGACAAAAGTTTTGGAAAGGATATTTAAACCACATGTTTCGGGGTTTAAGCCCATCTCTAACTATTAGACATTAGGATGAGAGCATTAGGATGGGGGTGTGGAAAGCAGATTATCCCAATCTGCCTATAGGAGGGATTTTACACTTTCCTTGGCAGTATCTGGTGCTGGCCACTGTCAGACAGGATACTGAATCAAACCAGAGGTTCATCTAGCCAAGTATGGTAATTCTTATATAGATGTGATGTACCTTTTTAGCGTAATTCAGAAATATTCTGGAAGTTACTTTTCCAGATAAAGCTAAATGCCAAATCCTGATTTTGATCAATTAAAAAGGAGCAAGTTAGACAGGGAAGGTGGGCTTCCCAAGCACATGCCTTTTTTCCAAACATTAATTCACAATGGCAGAAAATTTCTGTGCATGTCCATATCCACACATTTCAATGACTAGTTTAGCTCAAGAAAACACAAGGGGCATGGGTTCAGGTGAAAATGGACACACCACGAGCAAAATCATGGCATACTACCAGTCATGCAACTATCATGCAAATACAGCCTACGTATCTAGGTGGGAAACAAATATTTAATAATGGGCTCTTCAATCTACCAGAGAAAGGTATAACATGATTCAATGGCTGGAAGCTGAAGCTAAACAAATTCAGACCAGAAATAAGGTGTACATTTTTGACAGTGAGGGTAATTAACCATTGGAACAGTTTACCAAGGGTCGTGGTGGATTTTCCATCATTAACAATTTTTATATCAAGATTGGATGTTTTTCTAAAAGATATACCTCTAGGAATTATTTTGGGGAAGTTCCATGGCCTGTGATATACAGGAAGTCAGATTAGATGATCAAAATGGTCCCTTCTGGCCTTGGCATCTATTTCAAACAGCGGAGTACTTTATTGCAGTACTGAGCTGGAATAAGTCTGGTGGTGACAGGAGGGGTGTGCAGCAGGAAGAGCACTCTAGTGACCAGGGGAAGCATCGGGAGCATGCTAACACAGAGGATGCCTCAAGCCTCGACTATTAAAGGCAATGATTTGTGAAGCAGGTTTCATGCCACTAGGTATGGCAGAGGGAACAACTTTTAGGAACCTGGAACAGATGATGTAATATATCAAATGCTCATTTGACTTCACATTATACACCAGCTGAGGATCTGCCCTAGAGACTGCAGGTGAGGGGCAAAAACATAAAATGGAAAACTGTAGAAAGCAGATTCTGAAGTTCCCCTTTTATGGGTTTTACATATGCTCTGAGACACCTCTGGATAAAAAGCAAAAACACCGTTGTGCCAGTATTCCTGCAGATTGCAATATGAACTTTTGTTGCTTACTAGAGGCAGACCCCACCTATATTTTATTTGTCAGTGGGTTCTGAAAAAAAGCTTTCATTAACCTCTAACTTACACTTGCTCAGGGCTCTGAACAAAGCATACAGTCAAATCTTGAACTCAACTCCAAAATGTCCAAGTAGTCAATCAGTGGAGAAACTCAAGAATTATTATATGAAAATTCCTACTAACATTCCTGTAACAACCTTGGTTGCAGCATTTCCGAAGATGCCTACCACCCTCTACAGAATCTTTAAGTTTCTTTAACAAGATTATAATACATTCTGACCAGTTAAGCATTAGGTGATATTGATGATAAACTCCTTTTTGTAAACAGATCCATTTGAGGCGTTGCACAATGAAAACACTCCATACAATGCCAGCTAACCAGAACACCCTCCTGTGATAGACTAAGTGACAGAAGGATATGTATAGTACAGTGACTAGAAAAAAAACGGATTTGGAAGGAAGTCAAAAGATATTTAATATCTTTCCAGCTACAAAAAAAAGTAGGAAAATAACTACTTAAAAAAAAAATCATCCTTACCTTGTTTGCCTGAATCAAATGAAAATCTTTTCCATAGGCCTTCAGTCCTTGTTCAAAATTCCTACATTCTTCCTCTGTCCAAACAGCTAACTCTTCTGAAATAAGAAACACAATACAGAAAACATACTTTAAAGTGACAGCATAATGATAACAAATGGAAACTCAAGATTCTGATACAAGGAACACTCTGTATTTAAGTTTCTTAAAGACTCAAAAGCGGAGCAGGCAGGGAGTACTAACAGATGAGTGCATAAAGAAAAACAGAAAGAACTAATACTGAGTAAAAAGTTAAATGAATGAAGAGGAAACAACAACAGACAGAAGGATACAAAGGAAAGATCTGTACAAGGACAGAAAGTGCACAATGCAGCCAAAGCACCTTCTATATATTTAGGTTAGTTTAATAAAGTTTGGAATTTTTCTGTCAACAAATAAGATTTAGAGGCCTAATCTCTTTTTACTTTGAATTTTGAATTCTTGTGTATTTCACACACATTAACTTTAGTGAATTTTATAAAAGTCCAGAAGCATGAATATAGAGAATAAGCCCCCTACAATTCCTACTTTAGGTGGGTGCATTAAAATTCTAAAAAGTTACAAAGTAATGAATAAAAATGTCAAGATTTTATTCATAAACCCCCTTCTTGTTTGTTATTGCCTAGGTACTTATATTCATACTATGCCCATCACTTCGTCCTCCACAATCTCATTTTGGCCCTCAACTTTTAGAAGCACAACGTCAAGCTCATCCCTATATGGCTGCATTAGAAGTGAACTCTGAATGTGGGGTCAGAGTTCATTAATTCCTGGATTTGAGGAAGAGCGATAATAGTGCTACATAATGCCGATGTGAAATCCTACTGTAATCGGAGGTATCTGACAGCAGCAATCAATGCCCAAATTTTAACGATTTTGCCAAATTAAAGGAGGCATGGGATTAAAAAAAAAACAAAAAAACCACAAGTACATTTAAAATTTGATGTATTCTTACCTCTGGCTGCTTTCACATTAAATCTTAATCTTCTCAATGATTCTTCTGTATCAAAATTGCACTTAACCAATTCATACAATGCCTAGAAAGGTGAAAAACTACACATTTAATATGCATAACTCTATATACTACTGAATTTGCGTATTGCTACAGTGGTGCAATTATCAATTACTTATTCTGAAAAGTCTAATTTCTCTAAAAATCCAGTAGAAGAAACTGTTTTTAAAACAGCAATATAAGTCTACAGAAGACTTACAGATAACTTTTAGGTTATACACCTCCTGGATAGCATATGTATAATACACACTTTTCCCTTCTTCATTTCTTGTTCTAAAATATTATAGTGTTATGTACTGTAAAAATAGTTTCCTTTCTCTACCCTAATTTATAGGACACATTTTTATAATTGATTCCCTAAGATGCAGAAGTGTGACAATAGGTATAGCCTATGCCCATTCTGTGGCGAGACTCAGAAATGAAATTCTGATATCCCAATACATGTGCACATATGGTTAGTTACATGAAGAGTAACCAACCTGGGCTGGCAATTTTGTTTTACCATACATCCTAAAGCTTAGGAAATCTGCAGGACTGGTGATCTTGTGCTTTAAAGAATTTATGCATATTTCTTCACAGGTCCAGTCCCCCCAAAAGATGCAAATTAACAAGATTTACATTGTTCTGACTTGAGAATTGGACACGTGCACACATCAAAGGGCTCATCAATGCACACATTTGTCAAGTCCATGTTCTTTTGTTCGGGGCAGGAGCAGAATTTGGTTTTAGTTAGTAAAGTGCTATAAAATCTACAACAGGAAGATAGAGACCAGAACGTAGGTTATTGCAGATAAAAATGTTTCTTAATGCACTTAATTTTAAAACTGAATATGCATTGTGTTAGTGATTTGGGTTCTTAAACATTTGCTTTTGTTGGGGACAAGAGGGGTGGAAGCAATTCAGTTCCTCTGATGGGGATAAGAGAAAAAAGAAGCAATCTCAAATCAGACTTTGAGGTCTGGGGGCAGCAAATGCGATAATTACAATGCAAATAACACACTATGGTCACTACAAATTCTAATATGTACCTGTTCATTGTCTTTAATATGTGATCCTTCAGGAATTGCCTCTAGTCCTTTCTCATCTCCTGTTCGCCTGGAGGCTTCATTGAGGAATTCAATCACTTTATCTTCTGTTAAATAATCAGGATTCCACAGCAGCTGGTCATCATTTTCATACACTAAATTAAGAAAAACAGAAACATAAGTGAAGCATATTCTGTAAGACTCCAACTTCTACTCAACCTCAAAGAATTGCTAATTTAGAACACAAGAAGATTCAAAATTACGAACATGATTAATGGGACAATCTGATTGGCCAGAGGACTGAGCATTATATTCATTTGAAATGTATGGTACTATCAATGCTCTTCCAAATGGTTTCTATGGTTCACTGTTAACTATGTTAGATCATGTACATACACACAGACTACAATGCAGTGCTGCAAATATATTGTGCATCTAATCAGATCCCCACGCATACACATCTGTGGAACAAAAGATCCCTCCCCATCCTCTGCCCTTGAAACTACAAAAATCACAAGATGGCAGAACAGTTTCAAACAGTGAGTCAACTATCCCTCCAAACTGCCTTCACCTAACCTCCAAAACAAGACCTTGTGAGTAACTCATCTTACTTTGCTGGAAAAGATCTATTAGAGATAAGATTAGAAAACTGATCACTCCAGCTTCCTTAGAACATTTGGTTCAATCACACAAACTGAGGGATGTGTGAACTACTACATGTGAAGTCTTAGCCACCATGGTTCATGAAAGCCAGCAAAAAGCATCCAGGCCCACTACTGACTGAGAACACCTTTGCCTACCACTCTAAGTCAAAATGCCTCTTGAAAGCAGCATCTGATGTCAGAAACCTTGCCAGCTCAGCAGACCATCAACCCACCATTGCCCAGATGACAGGAACAGAGAGAAACATGTGAGTGAAAACGAACTAGCTCAAGCTTAACTCAAGCAAGCCGAAGATACTGATAAAAATAAATATTTTGAGAAGATAGCTGAGACACTGGCCTCAATGAAGTCTCAAACCTTCTCTCAATAATAGAGGCTGAAAAACAACTGCCTTTACACATCATGGATAGGTCTGATTAAGAAAAAAGTAACAGCAGTTAAATCAAGGAATGGTGGTGAACAAAATTTATTATGGATTTAGTACATTTCTTAATTTTGTAACCGACACCATGAGTGTATTAGAAGTTGCTAGACACACAAAGAATGACTACGACATCAATGGATGATACGAAAATCTGAACCCCATCTATCCTCTATGTTAAATCCTGTAAGTTTTCCCTCTGAGTAGCATCTCAAGGGATTGTTTCAGTCGGCCCCTCTTGCGTGTTCCTCCAGCTGCCAAACGGCATGCCTGCCATGGAAGATGCTCTGGCTTAATTCTTAACAAATCTCAAATATTTCCACCTTCTTTTCTGGGTAACTTAAGCAATAAAGGGTTGTTGAACTCCAACAAATCTGGGCATCTGTTACTACTTTGTTCCATTTAATACCTAGTATTTTTCTAAGACATTTGCTTTCAAAGGCAATTAGGTGTCTGTCTACATGTTTGGTAGATTCCCAGCTTTTACAGCCATATGATAACATGGAAAGAACTCTAGAAAGTAGGGCAGTATAACGGTATAGACCAGTGGTTCTCAACCTATTTACCACTGTGGGCCACATATGCAGCTCTCTTTAGTGTGGATGCGGCCCAAATAACACATATACACACTACCTGTATGGCCCTTAGGATGTCATATGGGTTGCAGCTGTGTGCAGGCTGAGAACCACTGGTATAGACCGAACTCTGTAATAAATGGGGTGTAGATCTAATCCACTTGCTATCTTCGGGGAGAACTGATTGTTTCATAGGACTTGTCTACAGTGTTTTAAGTGTAGTGCTTCAAAGAAGATGCTACCTACACTGACAGGAGGGCTTCTCGCATCAGCATAGGTAATCCATGTCCCAAGAGAGATGGTAGCTAAGTCAAAAGGAGAATTCTCTGGTCAACTCAGCACTGTCTACACTGGGGGGTTAAGTCAGTTTTAACTGCATCATTCAGGGGTATGGATTTTTTACACCCCTGTGCGATGTAGTTATACCAACCTAATTTCCTAGTGTAGACCAGGCCCTAGAATTATCCCTATATTCTAAAAATAGCCTATATGTTCTTCAGAACTTAGTTCTGCCCACATACTAACAACGTGCCCTCTTAACAGCAACGCAATGCCGCTTAGCCTCTCTTGGTAGTGGATGTGGCTTGGGATAAAATACGGAAGTCTTTCAGTTCCCGGAGTGACTCCTCCATTTCCAAATCAAATAGCTCTGGATATCATCATCATCCACCTCTGCTTGCCCGTCAAGGGGACGATCTGAAGATTTTCGCAAGGAAAAAAAAACCCAACTCTTCATCATTGTTAAAATTCACTTTTCTGTCATGTCAGAAACATCAAACGGGTCTGAGCATATCCTTCACAACTTGAAGGTCCTCAGCAATGATATATTGGGAGCCCCTTTTGCCTTTTCTGTCAGTTAGTCTAACAATGAAGTCTCAAATCAAACAGCCATATTATCTTAGCCAGCTCAGTAATTTGCTATGGACATCTGAAGAGTAGCATTTTCTTCCCCAAGGGTTTAGGAGCTTTTGCACCTTTGTCCTTGGCAGTGGACCAATGATGACTAGTCTTCTTCAAGAGGAGTAAAGAAGTTCAGCGTGTAGATGAGAAGCATAGTCGGGAAAGTAACGAATACTTCCCTGATGTCTTGTATTTTCTAAATGGACAACCTACCCTAAATTCTCAATTACCGAGGGACAATCTTCACTCATTGCTGTATTTGCTTTCCACAACCAACTCTCCGTATAACTTTTCATGAGTGATGTACCCAAATACTTGGATGCTAATATCTAAACTGTATTCTTTAATATAATTCACCTAAATTTGGGTTATTGCCGATTATGCACTATATGTAGCTTATGACTTTAAAAACAAATTTTGTATTTGTGGATAATCTAAGCATTATACCCAGATGTACAGACACTCTTTTCTTAACCTGTGTATTATGTAATTTTTTAACGTTCGCTTTAATAAAAATTTTAAATCTACTCAAGTTCCCTCAGAGACCTGAGTCAGATCTTTCACTGAATCAATTTTCCTGGTGCCAAGGGATCCGACACCAACATACTCTGCTCTTCCATTGTCCAGGCACCCAAGAGTGAAACGTGAGAGAAACATCAGACACCAAAACACAATTGGAGCTACACTGAACATGGTGTTAGGTAAACTCACCAACCTCATGTCTTCATTACTTATTTGTCCTGGGCTCTGCTCAGGGCAAAAGTGCTTGCCTTATGGGACACAGATTCAGAGTCCCTAGGTATAAACTCTTTCAATTAACAACACAGCAGTCACTAAACTTGGATTGGGATATCCACAGAGAAGAGAGAGTGACAGTGAGTGTGAGAGTGAGCATGTAGGTGAGGCATCACAGACTAGAAATCCATACAGGCAGAGTTCAAAGAATAAATTATACCAAAACTGCATTTGTTATGAAATCTTCATGGAAACGGAGTATGTCATTAAGCTACTATGTTCGGCCAAGTGCTAAATTTCCTAGATGGTCACAATAATGTAATTCTACCCCAAAATACAAATGTTTATATTAGCAGTGCATTATAAGTTATACTTTAAGAACAAGATCTCATCAGCTGAGAGCCAAAGGGTATGATTGCACGTTGTCAACCTAATTTATTTTCCCCATTGTAAATGTCAACACTAGTCCAATTTGAGGCCGGTGAATAAAGGTTTCATCCAAAAATACAGTGGGTGGGGAAGGAAAAAGTACAGAACAAAAATTATACCAGCACTAGTGTAACAACAATTTAGTGAAACTTTAACTCCACTCCCCCACCAAAACAGTCTGTGTCCATGACACACATTTTCAGTTCTCAAACCAGTGATTGGATGCAAGGCCATGAAAAGCTGGTTTTTGTAGGCTTCTGCAGTAAAAAAACCAGCTATATAGTTTTATTATAGAAGGCCACAAGTCATTTACAGTACAGTAAACCAATAAGAATGGATGAATCAGCAGCAAATTACAAGTATACCTTGTTGACTTTCAGAGAAATACAGAGTTCAAGCTCTATGTTAAGATACCTACCAGATAAAGAAAGTAACACCAAAAGTAGTTTCTCCACAGCTAGTAGCACATACTTTATCTTTTGGTGCATTAATATTTAAAATAGATTTATTCCTCCCAATGACATTTTTTAATAGCAAAAGCAATTAAATTTTTTGGACTTGATCTCTTTAATTTTTTTTAATTCAAGCAAAGAAAAATCTGCCATTTCAATTAATAGCTTAATTTTTTCTAAGATGTCTTGTCTGAAATCCTCCCTCAAACTTTAGTACAGAAACTTGAACAAATCATTTCAGAAATGTTGACAGTATTAAAGCTCACCTTTCTCATTCTCCTTGTATTTGCATATGCCAGCTGGAATTTCAGCTTGAAACATAGAACCCACCATGATTTCCTGTTTAAAAAAAAATTATACATATAATGCATTTGACAGTCTTATTTGTTTTCTATAGAATGACAGAGTGACAATATCCCTTTAAGCATTAAAAAGTCCTGCCACCAATAACGTACAAAATACGTGACAAAAACTAATAGGAATTAAAAAAACAATATGGAAATTTACTTTGTCTATGAGGCTTTGAGAGAGTATTAAAAGAAACATACATTAACACTAAAGCTGTTCATTTTTAATTGTTGGGAAGAGCAGGAGAGGAAGCAGATAATTTATAAAGCTCAAAGTCATCATGAGTTAAAACTTAAACTTCAACCCTTTTCCTCTATTTTGGGAATTAAAAACCCTTCACATCGTGCAGAAAATGTATTATGGTTATTTACTTTATGTGGCATATTGGCAGAGGAAAAAGAAAACTAAATACACATTCTTTTACATCTACTTATTGAGATTAAAAACAATTACATGTACTTCATATAATGCTTGAGTTGTATTAAAGCACCCCATCTGTAATGATAATTAGAACAAAGATAGCAATTACTTCAGTGTGATTTCTCACTTAAATCACAGAATTTATTTCACTAAATGAAGTTACATTCTCCTGATCAGTCAGATGGAGACTGATGGATATAGAGCTGCTCTGCGATAATGTATGAATACTATATGTGACATGGTTATCGGGATTTCACAGTATGAATATGTTGGTTTAGTTTAATGAACAGGCTGCTGTAAAACAAGCAGAAAGTGAAACAATAGCTCAAGATACACTACTTCTCAGTAAACATTTCAGCATGGTTAAAACACAAGGCCTGAGCTATAACTGAAGATCCTACCTCCAGGTTACAGTCAAAGTTACAGAGACACAGCTAGGGGCCAGCAGATCAAAGAGACTACAATACTGTGTCCAGAGATCAGGGAAGTTGTTGCCAAGAAGCTGTTTGGACTGACACCCCTCTCTACCCCCCACGGGACATCTGAAGAGGTAGGCCTCCCTGGATCACCATCACCGATGGTAGATCTTTAAGTAAGAAACATGCATGTAGACTTTTAAAATCCTTCCTCTCGTGTTATGCTTTATTCCTACGGCTAAGATTAAACACTTCGGTTTGAGAAGACTGATCACTGGTAAAAAGGAACCAAACTGCAAAAGAACTGCAGGTGTCAAACCCAGTCAGACATACTGGGCTAAGCACAGCTGATACATAAGGTACTATAGCCCAAGTCTTGGCCTAGGAGTGGGAGAATTGTGTGATTTCACCCCTGGAAAAGTAAAGGCAAAAAGCCTGACACCTGAAGGGATGCATTCAGAGATGCAGCTAGTCCTGTAACTCAAAATTAGCAAAAAGGAGCCTGTTTACAGGAATTAATCCCAGTGAACTCTTATTTCCTGTCTCCTTCTGCTGATAGGATACAATGCCCACTTATGCCTGGAATAATCAACAGTACACTATATTTAATAACACATTTAATAAAGATATATTCTTAATAGCAAGT